TCTTTTCCAATTATTTATAGTGATCCCTTTAAATCATGGTTACAGAAAGGGCTCTTTATTAGCCCCACCCACACCCGCATTGTAAAATTAATACGCCAGAAATAATATAATTATCAGGGGAATAGCCATATTAGTCCATATCCACAAAACAGCAAGGAATCCTGTGGCAACTTAAGGTTTATCTACACTGCACCTTTAGTTCGGAATAAGATATGCAATTTGAGCTATGCAAATTATGTCTCTTATTTTGATCTAATTTCAAAATAGCTTATTTTGAAATTTGGTGCTGTTTACACAGCACCAACTTTCAAAATAAACTTCTATTCCTACAAGTGCCTTAATCCTCATGGAATGAGGATAACAGGGATGTCAGAGTTGCAAGCCCGTTACTTTGAAATCTATTTAGAAATAATGGGCTTGCTGAAAAGACGTGGAATAGCTCTTTCGGGATACCGGAAGTATCCCAAAATAGTGCCGCTGTCTAGATGGACCCTTAAAGACTAATAGATTTATTGTGGCATCAGCTTTTGTGGCAAAACCCAGTGTATCTGACTAAGTGAGGGTGATAGCTTATGCCCAGATATATCTGTTCATCTTTCAAAGATCATCCTGGCCTTTTCTTTATCCCTGTAGCACAGAATTATGTTGAGTCCGACAACACTAAGGAAACAAAGCCAGTAGTGAGAAATACCAAGCCAAATATTACTCCACTTTGTATTCAGCCTATTCCTTTTTATGGGATAGCACACCCACCGCTTTTTTCTGGGAGCATGTTGCCACCTCCGTCCTGCCAACCTTTCATTCGGAAAGTCACACTGATTGCTAGTACCAGCACACTCTTCTCTCCATTGATCACTCTGGGTAACAATTTCAATTGATACCTGTTGTGAGCAGATTATGCGTCTCCCCTGCTCTCACCCACTTCATGGGTTTGGCTTTATTGTCTGTTCAAAGAAGTAAGGAAGCTTAAACCTTTGTTTAAGCAGCTCACCCTCTTAGGTTTTCCTGCAGAATCTCTCTGCTCTATTACTCAGTTCCTTCTGCTCCTCAGACACTCCATCCTTCCTTTTTATTAGATTGAAGATAACAAGATTCACCTCACAAGATTGACCCAGCAAAGATTACTTAGTGTCTGAAAGGGAGCTGTAGCACCTGAATTTCAATGGAGACATCCCGTAGTGTTATGAATGGCCCTCCAAACCTGCCCATTGTGGCTGTTTTCATACCCCCTTTATGGGCAAATGTGAGACAAGATGAGCATGTGACTCTATAATTCTCCTAATGGGGTTGTAATGACGCAATTAATTTCTGTGTGGTCTTTATGGGACCTCAGCTGCATGAGGCTTGAAGGTGAACTCAACCATTCAAATAACAGAGGCAGAAACAAGACTGATCTCTGGTAGCCACTTGCGCAAAACATCAGCCAGTTCGTTGGCAGGAGATCCCCTTTGAGCTGGGGCTAAATATGTGATTACAACAATACATAGGCTCTTGAGAGAGATTCCTGTCTGAATTTTTGTGTCTTGAATTTCAGTGTGATTGTTAATAGTAATGCCCAAGTGATGGGCACTCTACAGAGCATTTGTCAAACACTGACAATCAGCATAATGCCGAAGAGAGCATAGAATGAAGATCATCCCTGTCCTAAAAAGCATCTACAATGAGAGGCATTACACCTATGAACCATACTGTCACCTGAACATAGGAGAATAATTTAGCACATTAGATAGAACATGAATGACCAGGACACTGGGCCGTGTCCATTGCAAAACTTTAGCTCTAATAGGCAACCAAGTGGGCTTACAGTAGAGGTTGTCCACTGACAGACCTCTGCTGGCAGTCCTAGAGAGCTCTTCTCCAGGAACGAACACACTACGGTCACGTCTACACTGGCTAGAAGATCAGCCCTCCAGAGGCAGATCTTCTAGTGTTCGATTTAGTGGATATAATGTAGACCAGTAAATTGCACGCTGAGGGCAGCATCTATTGGTGTCGGGTACTCCTCATTCTATGAAGGATAAGGGAATCCAATGGGAGCGTGTGCTCCTGTCGGCCACCCACTATGTGGGTGCCACCACAGCTTGGCTTAAGGTAAGTTGACTGGCTACATATTTTGCATAGCTGAAGTTACGTACCTTAAACCGACCTGTCTGGGCTAGTGTAGATCAGGCCTAATAGTCTCACAGATGATTTTGTCTGCCAGATTGGGAAGAAAATCTCCTAGATTATATATTCCCTCTATGGGGAGAAGTACTCTCTCAGTAATTGCAGTGATTAGTCCATTCAGATCTTTATAAATTGTCACAAATATGCCAAGAGGCAGTGGCGGTAGTCCTATTGCTGGAGTCCTAGGTTTTTGTGATAGTAACTTTATAAGACAAATGATATCACCTTACAATGATCACAATTAAGAAGTTGAACTATCAAAGGAAAAAGCAAGTGAAATGTGGAGAGAGGAAAATTTGAAGTGGCTGTAAATAACTTCTAATCCCTGATCCTGACTAAAATAATATATGCCACTTTTCTTTTGAAGTGGTAATCAATATAACTCAGAAACCTTGCTACTCTATCTAATTTTGAGTCATTCCTAGGAAAATTATTTTCACTCAAAGAAAGATGATTTAATCTTGATACCTGAAAAGTGCTCTGAGATCGATTGGCCGTAATTCTAATAATGGATTACCGATGCATTTTCTCTTTCCACAGGTGATACTTTACAAGTGTAATTAGTAATTAAAAGCTGTCTTCCCTGCTCCTGATGCAGCAGATCTTCTGGCCTCAAGTCACCTCTGCTCAGTGGTGTGCAGGAACCCAGATTGCACACCACATGGAGAAAGTACCATTATTCTCGCCCTGCTGCATCCGTTACTCCTTTTTTGTATTACAATAATGTATATGGTTACTGACAATTATCAAGGCTCAACTGTATTAGGTGTACAAACCGCATGGTAAGAGGCTCTCCCTTCTCTAAATAGTTTGCAGTATTAGAGACTACAGACAAAGCATTAAAAAAGGAAGAACTATCCCTATGTAATAGACAGAAAATTAAGGCACAGAAAGCCAGTGACTAGCAAAAAATTACATTCAAGGTCTGGGTTAGAATTTAGCAGGGGCATGTTAGTGGATAGTCCCTACCCAGAAGTCACCTACTACAGGACAGACCCAACAAAGAAAGCAACAGAACTCCACCAGACATTACCTACAGACCCCAGCCAAAAAATCTCTCCTAGGGTATGTCTACACTACCCTCCTAGTTCGAACTAGGAGGGTAATGTAGGCATACTGCACTTGCAAATGAAGCCCGGGATTTGAATTTCCCGGGCTTCATTTGCATAAGCGGGGCGCCGCCATTTTTAAACCCCGCTGGTTCGAACCCCGTGCAGCGAGGCTACACGGGGCTCGAACTAGGTAGTTCGGACTAGGCTTCCTATTCCGAACTACTGGTACGCCTAGTACGAAAGGGCATAGTACTGTTTTCCGCAAAAAAGCCCCGATCCCGAAAATGGCGATCGGGGCTTTTTTGCGGAAAACCGCGTCTGGATTGGCCACGGACACTTTTCCACAAAATATGCTTTTGCGGAAAAGCATCCTGCCAATCTAGACGCGATTTTTCCGAAAATGCTTTTAACGGAAAACTTTTCCGTTAAAAGCATTTCCGGAAAATCATGCCAGTCTAAACGTAGCCATTGAGTTAGCTCTGTTATAACACTCACATCTCTGTATCCCTTCTACGCATTTTTTTCTCTTTCAATTCATGCCTCTGATGAAGTCAGCTGCAAAGGCTTATACCACGAAAGCTTATACCATAATAAAATTGATAGTCTTTAAAGTGGCACTGGGCTTCTTGTTGTTTTTACTGAAATAGACCAACATGGCTATCTCTGAAACCTTTGGACTTTCTGCATCCCATTTAGATACCCATTTTTCCTCTCCAGTTATGCAGTAGAAGCTTATTGCTTCAAGTGCCAGAGTACATTTGTGGCCAATTTGCAGGGGGTTGGACGTGCGCCCTCTTGCAGATGAGACTGTTAAATTATTCGGTCATTGTGGTAAGCAGGCTTTCAGTTTATTTTATGAACACTTTGTCATTCTGGCAGACAGTCAGACACTCAGTAGTAAAAGATCAAGTAAGTGACGGAGGGACCGCAAAACACTTCATTCTCATAAGCAAGGATTCAGGCTTGACCATGTTCCCATTGTAGTCAGTAGGAATCTTACTGATATAATCACAATAATCCAATAACAATAAAATATTGTTTTCAAGTACATAACTTTAATTTTGAAAGCAAAGGACCAAATTCAGACCTGGTGTAAGAGTGTGTAACACCACTAACTGGTAAAGTGTTGCACTTGTTTTCCCCAGGTCTGAATTCAGGACAAATGTCTAACAGTGTTATAAGATAAAAAACCATAACGAAAAATACGTTAGATGTTCTTTAATGCTGTACCCTTCTAAAAGAGCTGAAGAATGTCACAAAGCAATTAATAAGTCTCCTTCGGAGTTAAGACTTTAAAGGGAAAGTTCTCCAAAGGAGCTTATTACATTCAGAACTAGTTAAAGTCATTTGATTATGTTTTAGGCGCTCCTGATCTACCGTGCATATATTTAGAGATCTGTTACTAATGGAAAGGCACAAGTGTTAACATTTTTATCATTAATCAGATATAATAACATACAAGGTGTCTTTATGCAAGGTAATCGGTAATAGTACCGTTGCTACTAAGATTTTTCACAAACGTATGGTCGCAATAATTCTAACTGGAAAAGCATAATTAAATCAAACTTAGGTCAATCTGTTAATATCTGCAAATGGCTGGTGATCTTGATAGACTCAGTCTTGATTTATTATACGTATTAATTATTTGTATTCTGTATCAGTGTCATGTGAGATTGACAACCCATTGTTTTCTAGTTGAACACATAGTAAGAGATGTTCCCTACCCCAAAGCCCTTAGTCTAAATAGGCAACATGTTTTATTCTTGTTTTCCAAATGGCAAACTCAGGTGCTGTGAGATTAAATGGTTTGCAAAAGTCAAATTCAGAATTTGTGACATCATCAAGAATTCCACTTTGATCTTCCTGAGTTCTTGTGTAGCACCTCAGAATTGACCCTTCATGTGATTAAAGTCTTCCTTGTTTAATTACTATAGAACAAATGCCTAACTGAGATGTACAGTAGGTTATGAAATATGAGCAGCAAATTTCCAGCATCTGTCATTTCAGCGTTGTGATGATCCACATGATAATGGATCTCTTTGACCAGACAAAATCAACTGAGGAAGCATCAACTCTTTTAAGTATGACAAAGAGAATGGAACACAATTTTTGCCTTGATGTACCAGAGTTCCAACTTTTCTCCTTAGATCACATTTCTTGCTTCCCGCACCTGCAAGAGAAACATGGTCTGTTGCTTTGATGCTCTGTCATGTTGCTGAATGCAATATATAATGAAACTATTTTTTAATGTGGCAAGAAAAGAAAGCCGAGCAATGCAAAAGGCTCTCCAGGAACAACTAACATAATAACAATAATAGGGATGAAGATGCAAACAGCTCACATGTGAATTAAACCAGATTCCTTTTGCAAGCTTTTGAAAAAGACTCCTGGCCAGAGGCAGAATGCATTAGTGTAACATGCCATGCCAGTCATTTACTACGTTTTCATTCTTCAAATAGAAAGTAGCCTCCAAAAAAACCCTATCCTTAAACCACTACTCCATTCCTGTGCTAATATTTTATTCCCTCTCAAGGAAAAGTTCTTGTCGCATAACTTCAGGGCCCAACTCATTTGATTTAGGAAAGGGATAAATAGAGATTACACTATGCTAATGAGTAGGTAGAAAGAAATAGTAATCTCATTACAGCTTTGTGGGTATCAATACCGATTTATACATTAGTAATCACAGCCGTTCAGGGAATGCCAAGAATGGTAAAACACTGGGTAAGCATTTTTAATCTGACTTCTAAATTTTCTTTATCTTTTTGAGAGGGTCTGCTGCATTTTTATCTACATGTGAAATGTAATTCAATCATTTTATATTTCATTTTATTGTAAATTACTATTATCTTTTATAATTATACCATATGTTTCTGCTGAATTCAGGGAAAAGTCTGCCAAGAACTTTTGGTGCGGTATAAATTATTTGATCCTGATTCTTTGATTGTAAGTTCCTTGCATAGCATCTAGTACTGTGGGATGGCTCATGACTAAGGTTCTTATTTGTACCACTGTACAAATAATAATAAATAACAATCATGATGATCCTTATATATCATACTTGAAGCCAGCGTTTTGATATGGCCACAAATTACTTTGTGGATGAGAACTTAAGACAAGAGTGATTCAGGTCATCTTCTCAATATATTTAAGTGCAAGCTAAGGTCTTGATTATGAGTTACGCTCCTCCTTTGGGCTGAACAATGCAGCTAAGGTGGTTCATAGGAGGAGCTGACCAACTCAAAATATACCAGTAAGATTATAGACACTTTGGAGCAGGGACTGTCATTTACTGTATGTGTAGTAACAGACCCAGACCAGCTGGCTGTCACACTCTAATAGAAGCCAGGTAGGATGGGCTCTTAGTGAACAGTTTCCTCTTCCTTGAGTAAACAGGGCTGAACCTAGTACAGGCATAACCTGGGGCCAGTTAAGAGCTTGCCAGAAGCAGCAGGCTAATCAGAGCACCTGCAGCCCATTAAGGCCTGCTGGGACTTGGTTTTTAAGGGAGGAGAGGAGTCCAAGATCTGAGAGTTAGAAAGTGCATTGGATGAGAGCTGTGTCCTGCAAGCAAGGCAGAGGGCTGTGGAGGAGCAAGGAAGATTGCTCAGGTACCAGAGAAAAGATACTGAGGGTGTGTCTAGGCTACAGGGATTTTTCGAAAAAAGTGCCCTTTTCAAAAAATCTTTACCTACATCTAGACTGCAGCCGTGTTTTTTCAAAAGTAAATCGAAAGAATGTGCCCATTTTTTCGACCGCGGAAAACCTCGTTTTACGAGGAATAACACCTTTTTTCGAAAGTGCTCTTTCGAAAAAAGGCGCTATGTAATGCAAACTGTGCTTTTTTGAAAGAGAGCATCCAGACTGCCTAGGTGCTCTCTTTCAAAAAAGTGGCTTGCTTTTTCGAAAGTACTGGTTGTAGTCTAGATGCTCTTTTTCGAAAGAGGCTTGGAGTCTAGGCGTAGCCTGAGGGATTATTTGGGAAGTGGCCCATGGAAGAAGCTGCCAGGCTGGGAGTAGAGGATGCCTTGTCTGTTGCTGCTGCCTTAAGGTCTTTGGGTATGGCTCAGGAGGCTTGACTCGTGCCTCTAGAAATACGAGACTATGTGGAGAGTCACAATGAACCTCTGAGGCAAACACTGTCCACCAGAAGCGCAGGACCCTCAGGGCACAACCAGACTTTTCCCATAGTGTAAGAAGTGCCTAGCACAATGAGACACCAGACTGTTTGGTCCCTCTTGATGCTATTGTAATATAGATGTTAAATTATAATAGCAATAAGAAAGGAGAAATCTCATGGTAGACACTCATTCATGCTTTCCCTGATATATTAAAAAGAAGGGTCTGGAGCTAAGAATTGCCTTCTGTGGTAATCTGTGTTTGGGTTAGATGGGTTCCTCTTAACCAGAAGGGGTGCTGATTGCCTTTTTCAAATCAAGCTTTAAACTAGGAAGCAATTAGCAATCATTAATGTAATTCAAGTGATTTGGAGTATGCTTCAAATATACAAAGCAAGGCTGAAGATGGAACTGTTTGGAAACAAAATATTAAAACCGATGAGTGTTTTAACCCCCTAAATCATCTGTACAGGGATGCAAGAAGCACGAGCAACCTGCCAAAAGATCTGGAAGTCATATGAAATTAGAGATTACTCCATACTGGATACAATAGGAAATAACAATTCATAAGTGGAATACCAATACTGGTGGGTGTAATCCACAGAAGGTTCAGCATCTCTGAAAATCAGTGTGTGTCCCATTATCCAAAAGTAAGTGCCCACTGTTGAAAATCGAGGCCAATACCTTGATGAAATCTGTGGTGGCTACCATTCTAGCTAATTCCAGTCTCAGTATTGTTTTTCCACTGAAAATGACACTCTTTGAGACTTAATTTAGGATAACCCCTCTATTTGAAAATAGTTGTTACTTTGAGAAATGATTTGAACTTTTTATGACTGACTTGCCTTTGCAATGTATATAAACCGAAACTTGTGAAATGAAGCATAT